AGAGCTCAGTGAGCTGTTCTGAGGGAGCTTGGAAGATAAGAATGTTAGAGCAGTGTGGATGATGGAGGCCTGGCTTGTGAAGTTTCAGAGGGAAGCGAAGACTCTCCTGGGCCTTTTGTGTGAAGGACCTGTGGTGTCTGGTCAGCTGGAGCTGAAGAATCATCTGTGACTGACAAGAGACCAGAACCACTAAAGTAAATCCTTTGTTTTGCTGGGATGATGGATGCTGGTCAGCTGGAGCTGAAGAATCCACCGTGATTAAGAAGAGACCAGCATCACTGAGGTGAAACCTTCTGGGAAGTGTTTCCTGAGTCAGCACATGCAAGCTGTGTCTTCCAAGGGCGGCCAAGGTTGTACCCTGTGCTGGCAGCCAAACTTGGTCATGTGTAAGAGTCACCCAGGTGTGCTGGTTTTGAAGGCATGGCGGGGTCAGGAAAAGCCACTGAGGCTTGGCACTGTGAGAGGCCAGGATAGGCCATTGGTGAAGATGCATCCTCAGTAGCAACTGAAGCCCCAGAATTGAAGGGGTCATGGGAAGAAGTTGAGGTTTAGCACCATGAAGACAGCCCAGGAGAGGCTGTTGGTGAAAGCGCGGCCTACTTGCATCAGAGATCCCAGCATTTTGGAGATGCCAGTACTGTGCGATGATCACCAAGAACAGCAGCAGCAGTGCTGAGGTGGAACCTGCCAGAGCCTGGGAGACAACTGTGTGTGCTACAGTGGGCGGAGACAGAGAGGTGACCCCAGTCCTTTGCAGGAGCCCAAAAGATCGGAGATGGTGAGTGAATCCCAGACATTGGACAGTGAGTTATTTACACCATTGGCATTTGGTTTTGCTCAGATTGCGACTGTGCCCTGGTTCTTGCCTCTTTGAAGTAAGGAAGTATTTAACTTAATTATGATTTTTACAGGAGCCCACAGTTGAGAGATTTTGAACTTTTAGAAGGAATTTTGGATTTTTTTTTTCAAGAGACTGGACTTTCAATTTGTTTCAATTTGTAAAGACTGTGTGACTTTTAAAGTTATTTTTGTTTTATGTTGTGATATTAATATTAAGGTGCCATCTTGGGGATAAATGAGAAAGAAACAGTTCTAATTGAAAAGTGAAAGGTTTGTGTGTCAAGCTGATACAAGCTAGGGTCATCAGAGAAGAGGGAGCCTCAGTTGAGAAATTGCCTCCATCCGTGAGATCAGGCTATAGGCAAGCCTGTAGGGCATTTTCTTAATTAGTGATTGATGGGAGAGGGCCCAGCCCATTGTGGGTGGTGCCATCCCTGGGCTAGTGGTTCTTTGTTCTATAAGAAAGCAGGCTGAGCAAGCCATGGGAAGCAAGGCAGTAAACACACCCTTCCCTGGCCTCTGCATCAGCTCCTGCCTCCAGGTTCCTGCCCGGCTTGAGTTCCTGCCCTTGTAGCATTTGATGATGACCTGTCATATGGAACTGTGAGTGAAATCAACCCTTTCCTCTCCAAGTTGCTTTTGGTCATGGTGTTTCAGCACAGCAATAGTAAACCTAAGACAGATGGGAAGCATGGTTCGGGGCTGGAGGGATGGCTCAGTGGTTAAGAGTGCTTGCTGCTTTTGCAGAGGATCCAAGACTGGTTTTCAGTGCCCACATGGTTGCTCACAACCACCTGCAGCTGCAACCCTAGAGGACCTGACATCCTCTTCTGTCTTCTTATGTACCCACATGCACACATGTGTACCGACACATAGACCCACACCATAGCTTCCCACATGCTCATGTGTATACAGACACATGGACACATTCATACATATAAAACAAAAATAAAAGCTTTAAAATAGGATTTTGAGGTAGCTTCCTGGTTTCCTTTATTTGATTCACTGATTGAGTTGCATCTTCCTATTGTTATTTTGCTGTGGAGGTATGGTTGGATGTAATCAGAATTTCCCTATGTGTTTTGTTTTCATCTAATCGATTACAGTGTGTTTGTTGGTTGGTTTTGTCAGTCTGACAGAAACCTAGACTTATCTGGGAAGAGAGAATCTCAGTGTGGGGATTGCCTCCATCAGACTGGCTTGTGGGCAAGTCTATGGGACCATTCCCTTGAATAATGATTGATGTTCCTTAGTTCCTACCCTGACTTCCTTCAGTGATGGACTGCTACCTGTAAGTGAAGGATGAAGTCAGCCCTCTCCTCCCGAGTTGCTTTTGGTCATGTTTATCACAGCAATAGACTTACGTGTGCCAGGTGTGTGCTGTTGGTGGGAGAGTGCCAGGTGTGTGCTGTTGCTAGGAGAGTGCCAGGTGTGTGCTGTTGCTAGGAGAGTTTCAGGTGTGTGCTGTTGCTAGGAGAGTGCCAGGTGTGTGCTCTTCTGTGACCTTTTGTGAACTACTTGGCATCCTCTGAGTTTTTGTCTTTGATAATTTTGGAAAAAGCTGCTCCTTCTGGAAGCATCTTTTCCCTTTCTTCTTTCTAAGGACCACTCTTATCCCCTAGTCCTCGGAAGCCCTGGAGGGCGTGGTCCTGTGTGGACTACTCTCATTTCTGTTGTTTCCATGATGGGTCCTCTTATCCTCATTGGTTGCTTAGACTCATCTCGTGGTTTTACAGTTTGCCGGCCGGCTTTCCTGTTGAGTCTTTACCGTAGTGATCACAGCTGTTTATAATTGTCTGTGACGTGTTGCCGCGATGACACCTGGTTCTATTGGTTGTTTTGCTCCTGCAAATGTGTGTGTGCGCGCGTGTGCGCGATTTATGATGATTGAGTTTTGTTTGTTTTTAAGCTGGATGCCTTGTGTAAGAAACAGCCAAGTTGGCCCTAACCTTGGGAGTAGGCACATCTCTCTATTGAACCTGTAAAGGGGTGTTCAATGTTAATCAAGGAACTGGCCTTACTGGTAATTTGCTTACATCCAGTGTGACACTTGGCTTACACCCAGCGTGACCTAGGCTTTATTTCCCCCGGTGATGGCTTGTATCTGTGTTGGGAGCTAGTCACCCACTGTCTTCATACTGTCCTACACTCTGTCTCAATTTTCCCAGGGGTAGTGCACTGTTTCCTTTACTCTGTCTCTGAGGAGGACTGTGAACAGGACAGAGATGGGTTTCTTGAATTTCTGATGGAATCTTACTCTCTGTAGGCACCATGTATGTCCCTGGGATTGGGCAACATGTCCTTACATGTATAAAAGGGATAGTTCTCCACCAACTGTATAGCCGTGCTCCTTCCTCCTCCTCCTTGGGCTCATGGCATGTTTCTGTCTGCAAGAAACATTTGCCATTACCTTGAGGTCAACAAAAATTGCCCTTACCTCCTCTTCTCCTCCCAAATGCCAGACTGTTACATTAGGAGATAGAACACCGTCTCTGTGTAGAGCGGTGTGCCCCTTTCGTGGTGGGTACCGCTCTACGAAAGTCTAGGCAGGGGGAAAGCCGCCTGCAGCTTCTCCAGGCTAGCAGCGACTGCTGTTGGTTTTGCAGAGCAAAGGTTTGCAAGAGAGGGGCCTCCAGCTCTGTCAGCACCCCGCAGCCGGGTTTTGCGCTGACTTGACTGAAGCCTTCCTTCTGCTGCTGTCTCATTACTCCTCACATACATTTTTAGTTCTACAAATATTTCAAGCAACACAAGTGATAATTATTTCATTGTACTGAGTACTTACCCCTTCGGTATTCTCAGCTTTGTCCTGATATTCCATGGTTTTTGCCTGTGTTATATCTCACCTATGAAATAAAAGAACTACTTTTCATATGTTTTAAAGCACATAGTAACTATGATTTTCTTCTCTTCTCTAATTCTTTGTTTCTTTAGCAAGAAATTTCATTCTGCCTGTCAGACTGGTTTTGTTGTCTGATTGTTGTGAGTGTGTGTGTGTGTGTGTGTGTGTGTGTGTGTGTGTGTGTATACATAGATATGTGTGGAGGGTCCATGTGTATGTATGTGGAGGGTATGTGTATATGTATGTGGAGAACACATGTGCTCCAGCCAAAAAAGGACACTAGGTATCTTGCTCTGTCATTCTTCACCTTAGTATTTAGACAGAGGTCTTTCATGGGCCCTGCATCTAGGCTGGTGGTCTGCTGGGGTTACGGATGTGCGTGTGGTGATGCCTGGCTTTGTATGTAGGTTCTGAGGACTGGAATTCAAGTGATTGTGCTTGCCTGGCATTTGCTCCTAACCACTGAGACATCTCTCTTGACCCTTAAACTTGCACATATCCTCTGGCAAGCCAAATAGTTGGTTCTTCTGAAACCACCAACCTTCAAATGATTTGTTGGCTGTCTACTTCCCAGAATTAGCCTGACACCTGGCCCAAGCCCATTTATCACCTTGCATCCAAAATTTCCAAAAGCTATGGGAAAATGGGCAGCCAAATTGCCCACTCTGGAATGGTCTTTCATTTTCCATGCCACTCTGATTTTAAAAACCGATACAGCCTTTTAACTAATTTTTAAAATTCAGCATATAAAGTAATAATCTTCACTATGGCATTTCCATGCATCCATGCTATTGTGCTGTGTTCTTATTCATTCTCATAACCTTTAAAGACAAGGTCTTTCTTGCTTGTGGTGGTTAATTTTGATTTTCAACTTGGGTTTAAAAATACACACACACACACACACACACACACACACACACACACACACACACACACACACACACCCCTAGGGGATCAGTATGGTACACCTCTGGGTGTATCTGTGAGGTTGTTTTCCAGAGAGTTTTAAGTGAGAAGGGGAAAGACCCACCCTGAATGTAGGCAACATCATTCCAGGTACCCTAGGCTGAACAAAAACAGAAAAAGAAAAAAACCGAATATTGGAATTCCCTTTTCTGCCTCCTCAAATTACCCAAATATGAGCCAAACCAGCCTTGTGCTCATACCACGATATATTCCCCACCATGCTGGACTATATATCCTCAAGCCATGAGCCCATATAGATCCTTCTTCCCCTGAGTGGCTTCTTATTGGCTGTTTGGTCACAGTGATGAGAACAGTAACTTACACACTGCTTTTCTGTATTTTCCTGGTGTAGTCTGAGGACCCATAGCACACACCATTTCCCACCATGACCTACTGTCAACTACTGCAGCCTGTTCAGAAGGAAATATGCCTGATCTACACTTCAAAACGCAGCTCTGAGTGGCTCTTACCACAAACTGAGGTGAGTTTCCATACGATCCATTTTCATCTACCTTTATCGCCTTACATTTTACCGAACTTCTTTACATGCAAACTGACTAAGTAGTCTTGACCAATATCCAAAGAAGTATGAGTTTGATGCCATCATGCTAACCAATGAGTTGGTCATTTAAAAACTACAAGGAAGGGTCAGCATTTGAGCTTGGCCAAGCCTGATGACCGGAGTTCAATGCCCAGAACCCACCGGGTGGAAAGAGAGAACTACCTTAAGTTAATCCTCTGACCACATGTCCTCTGCGGCATGTGCTCATGCACACAAACAACACATACACACACACACACACACACACACACACACACACACACACACACACACACACATTCATGCACACAAGGTGAATTAATAAAATGTAATAAAAAATTTTTAAAAAGGCTAGCTTAGAAATGCTGACAGTGTTGCTGACAGACAGTAGCCATTTGTAAAAACTTCTGAAAATATCTTTGATCTATTTTTTATTAATTTATCTTAAAGTGCATTATATATTTTGCTTGAGTGCCTTATCTGCTGTACATACATTTTTAATTTTGTTTTACTGATTTTATGAATTATTGCTCTCATTAGTTTAGTGTTTTGAAGCAGGAGATGTCCTAATGCTCAAGTTCCTTTGTTGACTTTGAAGGAGCAGTCTATTGATTAAGGCAGGATGTTAAAGTCACTCCCTTTATGGAACGCTTTCCCTTTATGTCCTAAAGTGTTTGACTTATGAAACTGGGTATGCTTACATTCAATAAATGTATATTTACAACCATTATATTTTCTTGATGGATATTTCTGCTCATTAGCATGACTTTCCTTATCCCTCGTGACTAATTTTGGCCTGAAGTCTGCTTTGTCCGGTATACTTGGTTTTAGATTCTGTCTGGACTATATTTTTCTATATTTTTACTTCAGTCTGTTTGTTCTTTTTCTAATGGTTTGAGTTTCTTGCAGACAGCAAAATTTTGAGGGTTACTTTATAGTCCATTCAACTAGTCCATGTCTTTTAACTGGAGTGTTATGGCCATTCTCATTTAGGATTATTACTGGATATCCTATACTAATTTCTCCTTTCTTCACCTTATACAGGTTTATTACTGAATTAGTGATATTTGATTCTCTCTTAATTCTTATTTGTCTATTTTTCTAGTGACATCTGTTTTTTCCTGACTCTTGTACTTGTATATATATATATAGATAGATGATAGATAGATAGAGATAGAGATAGAGATATATAGATATATATATTTCTTCTTCTAGGCATATTATACCTGTGAGTATCATTTACAGTGTGGGTCAGGACCATGAATTCCTTTAGTTTAGGCATAGAATGTAAGGTCTTCATTTCTCCTTTGATTTTAAAGGATAACCTTGCTGGATATAGTAATCTTGGTTGGTAATTATTCTTTCCCCAGGGCTGCAAATGCATCGTATCACTCCTGTTCTTTAGTGCCTCTGTGAAGGGTGTTGCTGTTATTCTGACAAGCTTGTCATTGTAACCAACTTGGAATTCTTTTCTCACAACTTTCACAGTTCTTTCTTTGCTCCACATCACTGTCATCTTGACTACAGTATTGCCTAGAGAAATTCTTCTTAAGATTTAAATATTTATTTTTTGTATGAGTCCTCTAACTGCACATACAACTTTATGCCAGAAGAGGGCATCCGATTCCACTATAGATGGTTGTGAGTCACCATGTGGTTGTTGGGAATCCAACTCAGGACCTCTGGAAGAGCAGCCAGTACTTTTAACTGCTGAGCTATCTCTCCAGCCCAGAATGGAGAGATGATTGTCTGGTAATGTCCACAAAATTCCTCCTGTTCTTGGTTGTCCATTTCCTTCTGTAGATCTGGAGAATTTTCTGCTATAATTTTTTGAATTAACTATCATGCCTTTAGTCTGCATTTCTTCATCTCTACCACAGATTCACAGATTTGGACCCTTAATCTTGTCTCAGAGGTTATGAATGTTGTGGGCATTATTGTTCTTTCAATTATTTGATTTATTGATATCTGAATTTAATAATTCTTCAACCTTTAGTTTTTGGTGTTTTTGCCTGGTCTAGTACACAGTGATATATTCCAATATTTGCTGGATTTATTTAAATTTTCCTTCTTAAAGTTCCACCTTTTCTTTTGTTACAGAATCTTCCTTCCTTTCTTTTTTTTAAACTGGATTCCTCTTCCAATACCTGCTATGCATCAAAAATATATATTTCCAAGTCCCTTAATACTTTTCTATCACTGTGAAGAAACACCATGACCAAGGCAACTTATAAAAGAAAACACTTATTGGGAGCCTTGCTTATAGCTTCAGAGGTATTGTGCTGGAGCAGTAGCCAAGAGCCTCCATCCTGATCGTCATGTCAGATCAGAGGGAGAAAAATAGAGCTTTGCATGGGCTTTTGAAACCTCAAATCCCACCCTCAGTGACACACCTTCTCCACCAAGGCCACACCTCCTAATCTTTCTTAAACCATCCTACCAACTAGGGACCAAGCATTCACATATATGAGCTTATGGGGGCCAGTCTCATTCAAAGCACTACACCAAGTATGTGAAAGATATTTTATTAATTTATTACTTTAATTTTTGATCTTTTGACATGACAGTGGTTGATCCTTAGACCTCAAGTATACAGAACACGTGCTATACTATTGACCCCCTACTGGGAGCAGGGAGTCACTGCGTTATTTTATTGGGAAACACAAACAACAAGGCATACAATAATGGGTGGGCTATCTAGGTAGCTGCCACTGTGTTTGGATGGAGCTTAATCCCACAGAGAAGCCCTAGAGAAGGTGCACAAATACAATTTCATCGTTGTCTTGCATTGTTAGAGAGATGAGCACACACATATTAATACCTGAGAGTCCCTATACTAGGGTGGTTTCTGGTCCATCTTTCCAAGTGTTCATAATAGCAACATGCAAAGTTAGGCAAAGAACAACGCACAGTGACAGTTGGAAATCTGCCAGAGTACAATATCTGCTAAAGGATGAGGCACAAGCAGGTTATACTACAATGCCTAGGGGATTTAGGGGCTCCCTTTAATTTATTATTCATAATGTTTGCAAACACCACAGTAGTAGACTTCTTTCTTTCTTCCATTAAAGAGAGAGAACACAGGGCCCGTCCAATCAGTAATCACTGCATGCCTTTCATGTACAGAGCGCTAGTCTCATCCCTGGGGGTAGAATGGTGAGCGGTACAGCGGAGATGCGTTCTCATATAGTTTATGCTGCAGTGGGAAGAGACTGGCTGCCATGGAAACCAGTACAACATCAGATGCAAATAGGGCCTTAGAGGAAAAATAAATAAACTGAAGGGACTGAAGATAAAAGTTGCTTTTTAAGATAACCAGTCTAAGGAGCCTGCTCAAGAACTAAATGTTGCAAGTCAAGGGAATAATTCTAGGCAAAAGAAATGGGAAGCCCACAGCCCCAGAGAGATCTCTGCTAGGTATACATAAAGAACAAGAGCATCAGCGTGGCTGCAGTACAGTAAGGGAGGAGGAAAATTAGGCAGGAGTCGGATGAGAGCTGCAGACTCGTCAGCCTTAGCAAGGATTTCACATTGATGCAAGGGTAGCAGGGAAGAGTCATGACATGCAGACCAAGGAAAATGACCAGGAGTCTTCAGTACTAGCTCAGGAACAATGGTGATATTGCTGACTGTCCCAAGAAGGAAAAGTTAGGGGTCAACAAGGTGGCTCAGTGAGTACAGACCCCTGTTGCCTCACCCAGGAAGGATTGAGAACTGGCTCTTGCAAGTTGTCTCCTGACTTCCATATGTAGGACATGTCACATGCTTACACACACACACACACACACACACACACACACACACACACACAGAGAGAGAGAGAGAGAGAGAGAGAGAGAGAGAGAGAGAGAGAGAGAGAGAGAATAAATAAAACACCATCAACATATAATACAAAGGCAATTATTTTTTAAAAAGAAAGGCAAGTTGCTTGAGTGGTTTGTCACGCAGGAACTGCCTTCCCACCAAGCCAATCGTCTTCACCATGGAAGATGCTGCTACTTCATTTAGCTGGAGATACTCATTTCTCTAGAACGTCTCATGAATGTGTGTGAAAAGCGGGTCTCTTTGCCAAAACGAAACAAGAAAAATCTCCCAAACCATTAAAAAAAAAAAAAATCGCAGCCTAATTATAAGGCTGTGTTTGCCTTTTGTTTTGAAGCCCTGGGGAGCAGGGACACTCTGGACCCACAGAACTAATACTTCACCGGTACCTTGGACTGCCAGTCGTCAGCATTATCTCGTGAGACTCCCAGATACTTTGAAATCTCAAATTGCTGCTTTTCTGCCTGCTGGGTGCTGTGAGTTGGAAAGAGCTCTGTCATTTGTTTCCTCCACATGCCTGAGGTACTTCGTGGATCCACATTCATTTAAGAGACGCTGTTTCTCTGTTGTGGGAGACTTCTAAGTCCCAGAGGTCAACAGACAGCCTTGGAATGCGTAGCTTTATTCATCTTGCTAGCAGCAGGGAAGGAATAGAAAGAAGAACCTGCCAGCAGGTTAGCATGAGGGAAATGGAAAAAAAAAGGAAAAGAAAAGCAAATGGCAAGGTAATTTCATTTTGTCTTTTTGGGCAAAGAAAGGAAAGGAAAGAGTCCTGGCACCATCACCCTAGTCACCTGGTTGACATTTGGGAACCTTGCTATGCCTGTCACACAGGGGACAGTTGATGAGTCTGACTGTATCACTTCAACCCAACTAATGACAGGTTCAGGACTCTCCAAACTTCAGGCTTCACCAAGCTAGCCCTCCCTCCAGAAGTTCCAAATGTCATCAAGGTGGGCACACGTCCCCCTTTTCTTTCTAAAATCACAAAATCCCTCCAGCCCCACAAAAAGGTCATGTGAAGAACATGGGTGGTTTAGTCCTGGGAAACAATCCCCAAAAAGGGGTTATTATGGAGTGAAATTTATTGTTCAGTAGATAAGAGAACTTGCTGCTCT